AAACTCATACCCTGTCACAAATTTTGTTAGTCTTTAAGGTGCTACTGGATTCTTGCTCTTTTTCTACTTCTAATTTGTTGTTTGTTCCACCTGCAGATTGTGATTGTCCTGGTGTAGAGGTTGCCTTGAATAAATGTATAATGAGAGGTTCAATGTGAAATACATAGTGGGGTCTGAGTACATGCATTTGTGGCTTTTCTTTGGCTATGCTACTATAGTGCGACTTTCAAAACCTGAAGGATGTCTGATGAGCCATCTGTATTAGTGCCTTTTAAAGAAGCAATTCACTTTTTTGGGTTTCTTGAGTTGTCTTGAGTCACAGGCAATTAATAATGTATAGATGTCTGCCTTAAAGCTCTCTGAAATTAAAGTGAGTTTTCTCATTCATTTCTGAGGGCCTCAATGTAAAATCCTGAACTGTAAGACTTTATGAGATAAGAATTTTCTTTTCAGATTTCCCCGAAGGACTGGTATACTGTCTCAACAGCTACTTTGTCTCTATTGCTGTCAATACAGACTATTTTCTTATTAAATACAGCCTTACACTGATTCTAAGGTAGTTTCTGTCTGTATCTTCTGTGTTCCCCAACTCTCACTTTTTGAGAAACTAGCCATTACTGGGTCTTCTCATACATGTGCAGGCCAAGTTTGCATAACGTGCATGTCTATCGTTGACTGTTTACATGATGGCTGCTAAATGTGTGAATAGACTGTGACTGAAATGGTATGGAAGTTCTCTCTATGACGATGTGTTCATACATGCATCATCAATTACTCTACGTGTGAGTCAGCCCATAGTTTTTCAAACAAATCTACAGAGCAGCTTGAAAACTGTTTTTTTATTATAATTTTTAATTTTCTACATGGTTTTCCATTGTGAATGCTTTACAAATCAATATACAAAAAGGAAAGCAGGATTTTAACACAGCATCAGGAAGAGGGGAAATGGCTATATCTCTCTCTCTATAAATATACACATAATATACAAAACACACACATGCTGGATATTGCATATATGGCATCATGTATATACAGATAACATACAGATTGTGAAAAGGCACTTGTGATAGTTTTCTTTGCCTCAGTGTGGGATGGGAACTTGGTAATGATTTATTTTGGACTTGGGCTGTCAGGATGACAGTTCTTTCTAAGTATAGGTGGTAAACACTAACCCCAATTTCAGAGAGTACAAGAAGCAATAACTCCCCTGCAATATGGGTAGAACAGAGCAGCAGGAGAATCAAAGTACCCCAAAAGTTCATGTAAAAACCAAAAGGCCCCGGAATGGCAATGCTGTGCCTATGTCAACAAGGGTCACCTATGTGTTTGAAGACCAGGGGGCTTGACACCTGAAAAGTACCTGGCAAAAGCTTTTTCTTTTGCACAGTTATGAATCAATCTATATAAATGTCAGAGGGAAAGAATAATTCTTGGTCCATGCAATGTATCCTGTATCAGTATCCACTAACAAGCTGCCTTCTGTGTTTTTTTTGGGGGGGGTTGGTTAGTGGAGATCACAAAGTCTATCTTCCTGGAACCAGTCCATATCAGAGCATGTTTTCAAAAGACAGTTAAATACCTTTTAGTCTCTAATGTACTACCTAATGGAATTTTTAGGACAAAATAGAATGCAGAAGAGCACCACAGTTACCGTATTTTTCGCTCCATAAGACGCACTTTCCCCCCCAAAAAAGTGGGGGGGAAGTGTGTGCGTCTTATGGAGAGAATACTGCAAAAAAGAGTGCATGTTGGGGACCTTAATGATGCCGTGGGGAAGCCTGCAGTGTGTGTGTGTGTGCATGCGCGCTGAGTGTGAGTGTGTGCAGGCGGGGTGGTGGTGGTTGGAAGCTCCCGGTTCCCTCCTCCTGTTTTTTTCCTGTTTTCCTTCTCTAAAAATTAGGTGCGTCTTATGGTCAGGTGCGTCTTATGGAGCGAAAAATGTGGTAATTGGAATGTATATTCCAATGAATCTTACACACTGGACATGCAGAAACAATTGTTACTTCCGTAAATTGCTCTCGCTTTTGAAGATTCAGCCTTTTGGGAGTCCTGAAGGAGTTAAAGCAACTCCTTTCAGAGACTGAGTGTTATGTGGTAACTGGAACGTTTTGGATCTATGCTGTTATCTGTAAGGACTGTGCAAATTATGGTCACATATTTTACTTTGATGCAAAGGCATGAGCAGAGTTATCTTCAGACATTTATGTAGAACGGAACTATACGTGCTTTTGGTAATATTGAGGTCTAAAGATGGTATTCCAAATTTCCTTAAAATCTAATAATTTGAAGGATATTTCCAAAATGTTTAACATTTGCAATGTTATCAAGGTTTCTGTAGTGTTTTGTCTGCATCTAATGAAAAAGGATGTTTCTCATTAAAGCTCATATCCAACAAGAAATTACCAAAAGTGTAATCTCTCCTGTCAAATTTAAGAGTAATGAAAGAATACTTAACTGTGTTGTACTCTATCTGTAAGATGTCACAACATACTTGCAGTTCACAACTAATCCAGGATTTCAAGGATGTTATTTTTGTGTGGGGAATGTTTGGAAACTGGATAATAAAAAATCTACCTGCACTAACACAGCACCTGAAGTTGCCTTATACTGAATCCATCAAGGTCAGTACTGTCTACTCAGACTGGTAGCGGTTCTCCAGGGTCTCAGTGGTAGGTCTTTCACATTACCTGCTATCTGATCCTTTTAGGTGAAGATGCCAGGGACTGACCCTGGGACCTTCTGCATGCCAAGCAGATGCTCTACCACTGAGCCACAGCCCCCCCACCCCCGAAACAGTTTCCTGCTTTGTGTAAAACAGTGAGATCAATGACTGAAGGGCCAAATTCTTATGGTTTGCAAATCAGGTAGCTTGCTTTCACCTTTACCTGAATTTCCTGGCCAGTAAAAGTATGTTGTATAACTATTTCTGTGCATATAGAATCTGCTAAATCTGACTCTGAATGAACAGTCTGGTGCACAAGCTCCCCTTTATTAGTTTCATTACAGAAGGAAGAAAGTTTTCCATGCAGCCAATTACAAATTGGAAACCTGGCTGAGAGCTGCATAGAGTTATGGGTAGTGTTATGAACTCCTTTATTTGCTGATTTCTAACTGGAAGGTGGGACCTTTCAGAATTCAAGATTAGTCTATTGGGCTAATTGCACTTTTTTTGGGGAGGGGGGACACCTGAGCATAATTAGCCTCTGCCAGACTTATAAGTCAGCTTCCATTCATAAATGTATTTGAGTAAGCCTAGGTAGTTACTGAGGTTGTGGAAAGTTCTGAAGTTCCCTCTGGTTCTTGACAGAATTATGCATTGATGAAGTATTATTTTGGCAAAATCGTCCGGAAGGTTCTGTAAGGAAATGGCGCCTTGGTTGCTTTCTCCAGTGGGGATAAAAACAGCTTGGAGGTGGAGATTTTCAGCAGGAAAATGACATGCTAAAAAGCCACTCCCCCTCCAAACTGCAGGCTACAGGTAACATTTTGTAAGAAAACAAGTGCAGCACTACAGATAACAAGTAGTCTCCCACTGCCCTGCCCCCAGTGGGTTTAGTTAAAGGGACCAACTCATGATTCCCTCAATTGGCCCTTTTTGCAGCAATTTCCCATCTGCAAGGCAGACCACAGTCTTCATTGAAAACACTGAAAGCCAAAACATGTACTTGTTTTAGACTTGGCCAGTTGAATCTTTACAATGCAATGTAAAATCAGAGCAATTACCCAGTTTGAGTAATGGCTAGATTTAGGGGCAGTTGCCCTCTGTTGACTTTGTATCAGTAAGGAAGTATACTTCACACTGGAAAGCTCTGGCTCATGATTAATGAGTATGTCCACGTCTTGCATTTCTCCAGTCATTTGTTGTGCTTAATACCCCCTCATTTTTTTTCTACATTAGCACTTTTAAAAATTGAGAGAGTGCTACTGTGCAGAAGAATATCTGCATGTTAGTTTCCCTTATGAGATTAAAGGTACCATCTTGTATTGGGCCCATCAGCTCAAATACTGGCAAGTTTTGGTGGCACCCAACAACACCCAGCAACAAAAAGGCACAAGTCTGCTTCTTTGCATCAGTTGCTAGGGAGGACAGGTGGGAGGATGCTATTGTAGCTGCGGGCTTCCTAGAAGCAGCTGGTTGTCCACTGTGTGAACAAAATGCTGGACTTGATAGACCTTTGGCCTGATCCAGCAAGGCTCTTCTGTTCTGAAGCTTATGTTGTGTAGTATGATAGGGAACATATCATGCCCTGGTTCTCAGTGGGACCTTATGAATTCTCATTCTGGATTTGTCACTGATTTTGGATATGAATCCAGTCACAGTTAACAGTGGACTTTCCTTCTGGGTGTCTTAATTTGGGGGGGAGGGGAGAGCTAAACTTTAATTATTTGCTCCCTGAGCAGGTACAGCATGCCTAGAAAACCTGGCTGTATTAAACTGAAGCATCCTGAACTGAGCACCTGTCTCCTCTCCTCAGTCTCTCTCCTCCACTTGAACAGAATTATTAGAGAGTCTCAATACAGGGAGGAAAGAGCAGCGTGAGACCCTAAATGGCCAGCATGAGAGAGGTCCTGTCTGTTCTCGGCAGGTTACAGAGGTATCTATATAGCACTCCAGGAGCACTCCAATTTGCTGTTGCATTATCCCGAATTATTTATGTCTGCCACTATTTTAGGGCAAGATTCTTTGGGAATATTACTCCATTGTTTGCTGTCTGTTCTGCAGAATGTTAAGAGCAACGTCCAAAAATGTCCCAGGAAGCTGAGTCTTTTTTGATTAACAGCAGCAGCTTCTGTCTTTTCCCTTCAAAAATGCTGCATTGCAACATGCTGTCTTTCTAGATCAGAGGACTTGGACTCAGTTGTTTCCTGGTCCTCCCTTTCTTGATGAAACACTGCTTTTGGTAGGAGAGGGGGGTTCTTCCACCCACATTGAGTAGCTCTAGTAGGGCTTGGTGCTTGAGAAATGGCGTTCCAGCAAGCTAGATTACATGTCATTGGCAGCACCTTGGCTTTTTCCAGAAGAAGTGATATACTGGACCATGTTTCCCTCCAAAGGGGACTGGAGGACTACTTTTATAAGTGAGAAGTAAAGGCTGGTGTTGGTGATGTGGGAAACAAGGTGATCCGAAGGCTGTTCCTTGCTGGGTCTCTGCTTTCTGATGCAATTAGTAGCTCGTTGTCGGCAAGGCAAGAGAGGTGAGTGGAGAAGTCACTGTCATGCCTTCTGGTACCTGTCTTTTGTTGGCATGGGATGAGAGTCACTGAAGGGAAGCTGTAGGTGTCCAGGCCTGGTGGGCATCTAGACGGCACTCCAAAGATGTCTGGTGCCTCAAATATATGATCCATGTCAGAGAAAGGAACAAGGGCCTGCATAGAGTCATATGAGCTCTTCTCTGTGTCCTCGGACACATAAGACTGGGCACAGCTCTCCTGGGCCTGGCTCTTATGCCTTAGTAGTCTCAAGTCATCTCTGAAGTGGGGGTTAAAGAGCAGATAGAGCAGGGGATTCAAGCAAGCTGGAAGAGGTAGCACCACCAACAGGACAGACTTGATGACTTCAGGGGTGATGAGGAAGAGGCTGAGCATGGAAGAGAAGGTGAGGAAGGCCACAGGACAATAGAGAATGCAGTTGACAAAGATGAGCCAGGCGACATGCTTAATCATAGCACAGTCCCAGACGGAGTCAAAGTCACCTTTCAGCAGGTTGCAATACAGGCGGATGTATGTGCCAGTGATGATGAGGAAACAGAGGGTGTTGACCAGCACCAGGGCCACCATAAAGCCCAGCATGGAAGGTTTTCCGTCAGGGAGGGGGTAAGGCAGGCAAAGAGGGGAAGACCCATACTCTCCCACAGAAAGCAGAGGGAGAGCGGCAGCCACAGAGGAGAGTGTCAGGCAGCACATGGCACCCGCCTTCACGCTGCCAAAGGAAGGCACTTTCCCATAGGTCTTCATACACGACACTGACAGACTGCACTGAATAGCAGCCAATGTTAGGAGAAGGATGGACGCCTCTGAAGCAAACACTGACAAGAATCCAGTGACCTGGCACCCTGCACCCGTCTCCCACCTGGCTCCATATCTGGCAAAATGGCCGAAGGTGATGGTGTCCACAAAGGCCAGGATGGCACAATACATGCCCGTCAGCATGTTGGTTCCGGCAATGCTGCCAATGACAAATTTGATTGGAGACAGATAGCCAGGTGAGGCAAAGACAACCACCATGACCAGCCCGTTGCACAGTATGGAGACCAACATGATCAGCCAGACACCCAGGCGGATTACCCAGCTCTCAAACAGGTGGTCACATGGCTTGAAGGGACCTGGAAAGAGGGAAGGAAGGAGTCAGACCAAAGCCTGGCTGAAGGAGGTACTGTAGCAAAGCAACTAACAATGTATTGCCAGATCTCAGACAGAAAAGTGAATGCCAATTGGCCACTGAGCCCTGCTTGCCTTTACCACTGGTGGAACAAGGGAAACTGATTAGATAAGAAAACAGAGGAAGGTATATTGGGGTTAAATGGCCAGAACTAGGGAGGTACACAGCAAAAGCCAAAGCAGTGATACATCTGTTTTGCACTTTTAACTCGACAACTAAAACTAGTTCCTGCAACTCTGTCTTAAGGCTGCATGGGCAAAAGGCAATGGCTTCTTTTCTGTATTTTACTCTGCTTCTGCTAGTTATAGGAAGGGGAAGAATGCTCAGCTAAACAGGGCACTGAATACTGGAAATGCTGCTCCCTCCTGCCCCTTCAGTTTTCAACAAATACTGCATGCCCTCCCTTTCTGTCTCTTTTGCAGCAGTGCTTCTCTCAGGATGCTGACTTCTTCACCTGTTCTCAATCCTGTGCTTGTATAGTGAATTTATCTTTGAGAAGGCTTCTTACCAGGGCTTGGTGTGCACTGGATGTTCAGATGTAGCTTTGAATCTTCCATTTCCAACTGGAAATCCTCCATGTCCAGGTCATCTAGGTAGAAAGCAAGGTAACAGGCATGGCAATATTCGTATTTTATATTGTAAGCCAGACATCACCCTGACCTGGATAGCCCAGGCTAGTCTGATCTTGTCAAATCTTGGAAGCTAAGCTGGGAAACCTCCCTGGAATACCTGGGTCTTGATACGGAGTCAGGCAATGTCAAATAGCATTGTGGTCACTGTTCCCAATCAGTGCTATATTTACATCTTGCACTGGGTCTCAAGCCCCATTCAGAACCAAGTCCAGAGTTGTTACACCTCTAGTTGGCTTCGTAATCAACTGCTGCAATGCTTAGTCATTTATGATGTTTAGAAAGCTTGCTTCTATGACATAACTTCCTGACTTGGATAGCCCAGGCCAGCCCGATCTCATCAGATCTTGGAAGCTAAGCAGGGTCAGACCTGGCTAGTATTTGGATGGGAGACCTCCAAGGAATACCTGGGTTGTGACGCGGAGGCAGGCAATGGCAAGCCACCTCTGAGCATCTCTTGCCTTGAAAACCCTACAGGGTCACCATGAGTCAGCTGTGACTTGACCGCAAAAAAAAAAAAAAGGCAGACATCTAGCTTGTTTTATTAAAGCCATGGCTGAAGTTTTATTTTATTTACTTCACTGATATCCTACTTTTCTCCCCAGTGGGGACTCAAAATGCTTACATAACATTTTTTCTTTCTCACTTTTATCCTTACAACAACTCTATGAAGTAGGTTAAGCAGAAAGTGTGTGATGGGCCCAAAGTCACACAGCAAGCTTCCATGGCAGAGAATCCGAACCTGGGCATCCTAGTCTGACACTCTGGCTACTACATCATGCCGACAAGAACGCCATGGTGGTAATAAATCCCTAGGTTTGTAGCCATTTTGACCAAAGAAGCCACTCTTGGAAAGACGATTGGCACGACCTCCTTGCCAAGAAATACCAAGATGACATGTTGCAAATTTATATTTTAAAAAGTCTCTAAAATCAGTATTTTAATTCTGATGGAGTCTCATGACTTTAGAATCTTAGGAAGTAGCTGCACTCTGCTAATCAATGAACATTCAGATGTTGCCTATAATCCAGATTTGTGAGTTTGAGAAATCGAAGGGAACAAACTGGTATTGTCTTGCCTGAAGTCTGTTTCTTCCTTCCAGTTGCTTATGGCGTAAAGTATTTACTGACCTCTAAGGCTGACATTGCAAGTGCAACAAGGTGAATGGAAGCTGCTACAAGGGAGTATGGAAAGTACTTTCAGACTCCCTACAAATGGCTCAAGTAGTTAAGACGCTGAACTGCAGGCTGTGGAAGGTCAGTAGTTCAGCAGTTCGAGACCCGAATTGCCGCATGACGGAGTGAGCTCCCGTCTCTAGTTCCAGCTCCTGCCAACCTAGCAGTTCGAAAGCAAGAAATTGCAAGTAGATAAATAGGTACCACTTCAGTGGGAAGGTAACAGCGTTCCGTGCGCCTTGGTGTTTAGTCATGCCGGCCACATGACCACGGAAACGTCTTCGGACAGCGCTGGCTCTTCGGCTTTGAAACGGAGATGAGCACCACAACCCTAGAGTCGGACTCGACTGGCTTTCGAGCAAGGGAACCTTTACCTTTACAAATGGCTCAGCTTAATTAGTCATGTAGTCATCATGAGTCTACATGGGGAACAATCTTTTTTGTTCCTTGGTGAATACAGAGTTTGCTCTGTTGGTTTTAAGAGTCACACTCTTTTTGCTTAGCTTGTACATAATTTTTTTTCTCCTACAGGTCACTGGGTATGTTGGGAAGTGTGTATTAGAATGTTTACAAGGAGTTTTAATTGACACCGCTGAGCCATTACCTAACAGAAGAAACGGCTAAATCAAGGTAAGTTAGGGTTTTTTTTCAGAAACAGAAGGGCTGTGCTTTTAAACAAATACAAACATTCAATAGGTACAGCTTTTCCCATCCTGGAGATAAAGTAATGGGTAAAAAAACTGCACTTGTAGGTTTTATGCCTGTCATGCAACTGTTAAAAGCACAGATCCTTTGTCAGAAAAAAATCAGCAGCTCTGTAATTAACCATGTTTCACTTCAATAAAGTTTGTTTTCTGCCTTAAACAAGAGTTTCAAAGCATACAGTTTATTATGAATGTTTCCTGAAGGAATATTGGGGAGGGGGAAGTTGGCATAAAAAGGGTGAATGGCCATGAGCTGTACTGTGTTACCGATGCCTTCCGACTACACGGAACCTAGCCCCATCCAGTTAGGCCAGAAGTGTGCTAGCATCTGAGCGAGAGGGACCCGTCGCCCAGAAGTCTAGACAGCTGAGTCTCTGCTGTTTGTTTTATTGGAGGTGTCAAGAACACGACTTGGGCAGTCTCAGAAGAGGTGTATTTTCTTTTCCCCACAAATATCGTACCATCGGAACATCTTGGTTGCACAAAAGGAATTACACAGAGCTTGCATTGAAATTTTTAAGCAAAAAATAAATAAATTCTTTACTGCTGGATGCAGGGTGATGTCCAAGAGCATGGAAACACATAAAGTATGCAAGACCCATTTCCTGTCAATCCACTCTGTTCTCCACCTATGACTATTACTGGGGTAAAGCTTTTCCAGGAAGAGAGGGAGAGTACTTATTCTCTGGCAAGAGCATGCTTGCCCACAGGAAATCAGACTGTAGGTCAATAACCAATCCGCCCATGGTGTGTGTTGCTGAGAAGGGAAAGCTGCCCCCTGTTAAGTTTTACTATCTGCTTTTTAGCAACCTTCGGACGCTTCCACATATCTGCGTAGAAGAGGGGAAGATGGTGCACAAGACAGGATGTGGAAAATTGTTGAGGGATCTTAGGGATGCTTTCTCCATGTAGCCCTTGTTCTTTGTACTAGAAAAACAAAGGTGGCAGGAGATGGGAAGCAACCACTGGAGCAGAATATCTCTGTGGGCTGTAAACAATACTTCCCACAATCTTCTGATGGAGAGAAAAAAATCAGAATTCTTACAGTCAGTCAAGTGTGTCCCCCCCCCCGCCAAAAATAAATTGGAGTAAACCAAAATGGTAACTCCAGACTGGAGCGGTTGTCCATCTCCCCGTAGGCCGGAGTCCTATGTCACAAGATGTGAGAACAGTATCTGTATTTTCACCCCTCCCCCTGAGCTGTTGCAACTGCTTCACATACAAGACAAGACTTACTATAACCTGAGGCAAGAGGCTGCCCCAGCAAAATAAGGAGATAGCAAAATCTGCTTTCCCCATGGTAGACTGTGTCAAATGTATTTCTCATTTCAGCTAGAGTCTCTCAGTCTTGTCAGCGTGTGTGGGCCATGTGTTTATATAGTCATGTCATGCAGCAAACAAACAATCCAAGCTGTGGTTTGGGAATCCATGTACTTCCCCCAATGCCTTTTGCATGTGACTTGCAGTCGCACAGAAATCCCACTGCCCACAAAATGATTTGGCCAAGTAAACAGCCGATCCCTCAGTAAAACAGCTATATGATCCTTAAGCTGGTCCACATTGATTGCTGCTGTGCTGTACCTCGCAGTCTTCCCTTGTGTGTCTCAGCATTGGAAAAGGTCCCTGTTAAAAGTGCAGATGAGTCAGGAATACTAGGATAACAACTATAGAAGTGCATACTGGGATGATCGTATTTCCCCCCAGAGCACGGAGGGCCAGGGTCTGCTTCACTTCTTATGGTGCCATTCCTGAACTGTTTTTTAAAAAACTGCTTTGACTTCATCCTTATCCCCAGAAGGGCAAACCAAGTCAGAATGGCAAGGCAGAGGATTGCCTAACTTATAAAGCAGTCTTTACTCACAGTGATTATCAGCATGGTTTGGAAATAGTCCTGAGCTCCTTTTGTGGCCATCCTCATCCTCAGGACTCGTATCCTCAGAATCCCACTGACTGGAAACTTTGAAGAAGTTGCCACATGCCCCATAGGCACAGCACTGGTAAGCATAGGGCACCTCCAAGACCCTGAAGAGGAGAACACAAGGCCACCGGTTTACCTGCTGCACTTGGACCTGTCATACATGGATGTAAAAACTCATGTTCCTGCAAAGGTATCCGATGCATAGGGGGGAATAAAATCAAATATAACAATGACTTGATGCCATGGAGGACAAACCTACAATACTTTTAATAGTTGGATGAAAGAAGGAATTTCGGTAGGTGTGGCTTGCCGTGCGGAGGTCAGAGAAACTACAGCTACTAACATACATTCTTTTACACTGCAAATATAGGAATCAGGATGCCACCCTCTTGTTCACTGGGTCAGGAACTGAAACTCATAGTTCTATGGTTTAATTTAATAGCCTGTACACGATGGCAACTGAAAGCCATCTTCTGTACTTACAGCACATGATGCACTATTAATGCACAAAGCTAATGTTCCGCCCACTAATATGTGGGACCAGATGCCACACAATGACAGCGAGAAGCTGGAGCTGCAGGAGCTAAGAAACTTTGATAACAATGTTAGCCAGCAAGGAGCTTTTTGCTCTCTTATGGACTATGAACTGTGCACCAGGGTGTAAAAGGACTATGATGCCAGGTAACCAGAGTGAGATGCCAGACACACACACCAGCAGATGCCTGAGATGATGTGCCCATGGTTTCCAAGAGGTTGCCCTGTTCCAGAGACTTTCCTATACACACCACAAGCCCTACACAAGCAGCCAGCTTGCCATTACTGGTTAAAACAATGGGGCCACAATGCCATTAAGTGACTCCGTTTCAGAAGGCTAACATGTTTCTCCCCCCCCCAAAAAAATCTTCATTGCTGTGAAGCACACAATTGAACATCTTCCACAGTCCCTTAACAAAAGGATTGGCTCGCTTGTCCCCCTGGAGGAACCGGTTCCTGGAGCCTCAAGACAAAGAGAGTAATCAGTGATTGACAATGACTCAACATGCCATCCAGGTGTCTCTGTTACCAGCTTAATTAATATTCAATATTGCCCAACCTAGACCCCCTTCCTCCATGGCATACGTGACTTCTTGGAACGGACCACAGAGGGGCTGTCTCAAGGGAAGTGTCCAGCAAGACCTCCCCCCCCATGTCACCCAAAGGGAGGAGACCTGCTAAGCCCTCCTCCTAAGGTCACCTTATAAAAGAGGGCATGCAGAAATGCACGCTCTCTCTCTCTTTACCCCCTCAACGACCTCTGTACTCTCTGACTCTTGAACTTGTGGCTACCTTGCCACCCACCTTGCCTTAAGACTGCAGCCAGAGTCTCCACATGCTTTCTGCTGGTTCAGTCTGCACGCTCCCTTTTCCTAGCATAATCCCAATTTTTCTAGAATTCCCTTATTTTTCCATTTGGAAGACTTCATCTCTTCAGGATCAGGTAACGTATCGCCAAACCACCGAATCTCCTGCTAACACGAATGTGCTATCCCAATGTCTCTATGTTTCTTAGCTCCGTATAATTGTTTGTGTGTTTGTGAATTGTTTGAATGTGCAGAAAACTACAGTAAAATACATTTATTATAACTAACTCCAGCCTGCGTGTCTGTTACTGGTACTCTGGAAGGGACCTCTGTATATAAAGGTGATCGCTCCCTTATGCCAATTGCTACTTATAAATAACTCATATTCCCCAATAACTGATAAGAAATCAGAGCAATTAGGCTAACTACAATACTCTTCAGACTGTTTGAATGTATTTAAGAAGCAGAGGTACCATTCAAAAGCAGCATGATGTCCAGGAAATTGTCTTTTCCAACACCATGGGCATATATTTACTGGCTTGTTATTCCCTCTCCCAAGAAATTCTGAGAACTTAAGTTTTATAAGTGGAAGAGAATTCTTCACACCCTAATCAAGCTGTAGTTCCCAAATGCTTCAGGGGAGGCTGTGAGTTATACTGCTATTAAACAAAGCACAGGTTTCTTATTTAGGTAGTCCCCGATCCAGATCAAGGCCCCTGCAAGGATCCCTGATCTTCTCAGCTTTCCCCTCCCTCCAGCAGTCCTTTCTGACCCTAGGAAGTTTATTCTCAGGATTGTGGAAACCACCTGGAGTAATAGATAGGGAGGGTGAAATCCCTCCCTTTCCCCTCTTCTGTCAGTGGAGCTCTGCTCACATGAGAAACAGAAGGGAGTGATTTTGCCCCCTCTCAACCTGTGTGGCTACTCCAGGTGGCTCCTGTGACCCTGGAAGTAAACATTTCCAGGGTCGGAAAGGACTGCTTGGGGGGGGGAGGAAGAACAGTGACCATCAGTGCCTTCTTCTGATGGATTCTGGGATTTGTACAATATTTCTGAATTCCTTATATGGTACTTCCCATATCCTGCTTTCAGTTTATTTTATCTTCCTGTGAACAGACAGATCAATCAGGCTGCAACTGCTCCCATGTGTCAGCTGTTTATGAGGAGTAATATTCAGTACATGATGGTTTAGAATGCAGCACCAGCACTGCCAACAATGATCAGAACTGATTGCGACACGTGATAGGATCAATGCACATAATTATTTCACTGCACAGGCACTGAAATGGGTGGACTCCCCACAAACATATGGTTGGCACTTCGGACATTGCGTTCTGAGCCTCCGGCACATTGTCTTAGCTGCTTACTCTAACCCCTCCAGGCTGCTCATTAATCCACAGCAGACAAGACATGGCCACACAAATAGCATTTACTGTAGGAAGGCTGGATGTCATTAACTGAGGTTGGCTTTTGCAAAGGTTTTCCGCTCTGGTGAGCCCCAGGCGTGAGCCCCTTGCTTCCACGGCCCCCTGCCTGTGTGTAAGTTTGGATGATGCCAGCAACGAGACATTCAGTGGCTCATCGATTTCTCAAAGCAGAGTCTCAGTGACGGACTCAAAGTGTTAGCAGAAAGTCACGCTTGCTCAAACCTCTGGGCTAACAAAATTACATAGAAATGTCTGGTAAACATGGAGAGCGGAAGGTGGATCAAAGCAAATAAATAACGTCCAGTCAGAAGGAGAGGGAGAACATGCATGCTGTGTCAAGCTAGAAACCAGTCACTGCAGAAAGGAAAAAATAAAGCTCACCTCATCTTAGGAAAGTTTTCCTTAGGGAAGGACTCAGAGAGTGCAGGGTTGCCTTTCAGTTTCAGATGAGTTAGTGCATTCAGACCAGACAATGGCAGTGTCACCAGCTGATTGTCAGTCAAATCCCTATTGGAGTGGAAGGCAGAGGAGACACAAGAATAGACTAGTGAAAGGTGCTTTGGGCTGGAGAGATGGGCTGCTCACAGGATTTTAATTGGGTTTTGTTTGCAACTCTTAACAGTGACCTTGATGGCCTTTTGCCTTTCTGCAGGGCAATGCAATGGGGTAGGGGTTTCTGCATATATTCTCCACTATAGCCTGATAAGTAGGGGTCATTTCCTACAGGAGCGCACAGGAGCAGAGCTCTGGCAGTAAAGAGCCCAGGGGGCGGGCACATGCAACAAGCCCCACCCCCTGCTCCCAGCAGCCCTCAGTCAGAGCAAGAAGCAGCCAGGTAAGTTGCAGAGCCCCCCCCCTGGCCCCCCGGCCCAAAACAGTCCAGTGGCACCTTTAAGACCAAGTTTTATTCAGGTACAAGCTCCCCCCCCCTCTGCGAGGACAGATCTGCATGTCCCCCCCCCCAATAGCTAGCAATCCAAAACAGTCCAGTGGTGCCTGAGCGGTGGGTGTTGCCTTCTGACACACTTCCAGTGATGTCAGGGGGTGTGGCATATGCGAATAAGTTATGCTAATGAGCTCTTGCACCTCTTTTTCTACAAAATGACCCCTGCTGATAAGCACTGAGCATGCTAATTGCCCACAAGTCATGGAATGCTGAGGATAATCAATAATGTGAGGGAGGCATGGAAATGAGACCACCTGGGCCCCTGACAGTTTATAATATCCTGGACCAGGGATTAGGTCTTTCATACTCTACACCACAAATTTAGAGTCCAATGGCTCCTTTGAAGGACTCTAAATTTGTTGTACTGCTTTGGTCCAACACGGCTGACCAACTGCATCTATACTCTATACCAGTTCAGGATGCTATAAACCTTTAGGAACTCTGAACATTCTGAAGCTAGCCGTGGTGATGAGATTAATTAGGAACAGAGGGAAAGTGCGATCCCAAGTATTGTTACCACACTCTCAGTCCATTGAAGTCAAGAGTGTAGGTCAGTTTAAGAATGCACTGCAGAGTGTTCAGATCACTTCGCAAACATCAGATCAGTACACATTAAAACAGCAGTGCTGTAAAGTAGTCATTATTGTTTTCACAGACAAGGGACAGTACTTTGCCTAAGGGCCAAAGTAGATGTGAGGGCATTCTCATGTCCACTATGAGGACATTATTTTAAAATGGTACAGGCAGGCAGCTGTGCCAGTCTGAAGCAGCAGAATGAAGTTTGAGTCCAGATATCTGAAGTGTTCATGCACACAAAAGCTTATAACTTTTTAAAAAAACTTTGTTGGTCTTAAAAGTGCCACTTGACTCAAACTTTGTTCATTTAAAAATGGTGTGAGGGCCTGATCCTGATTGGGCCCACAGGACAGTGGGTTGACGAGCTCTTGCCCCACTCCCATACTTTTCAAGTGTTCAAACTGCTGTAGAGATGTGGCCATTTCAGCATTTGAAAAGGTGTGTGTGTGTGTGTGTGTGTGGGGAACAAAAGTACCTCAGCCTGCTGTGCTGAGAGCCCCTGCAGAATTTTAAAATCACTTTAAAATGGCAGTGGAGTCCCCACAGTGGAACACAAGAATGCTGTCATGTCTAGTCTGGCGCCAAGGCTCCCTGTGAATGTCCTGCCTTGTACATTCCCTGTTCCTCCGTCTCCATCTCTTTGGGCAGCCCAGATTAAGGTAGTTGTGCTTAGCTTTGAAAATGACATGTAAATATTTTCTGAGTCACCAGGCAACTTACAGTTTAACAAGGGAGGGGAGGGTTACAAAGGCCTCAGGGTGGATGGTCTGAATGAAGTTCCAACTCAGGTCTCTGCAAGGCAAATGGATATACAATGATGAAGTAAGTATGGTGAGAAGTATGCATATAGTAAAGGTCCAGAAGGCTGTATTGCCTCTATACCCAGCACAATTGTTCCATAAATCTATTTTCAGATGGTCAATTTCACCCACCCAACAGTGAAAACTCCCAAAGTCTCCATCCAGTTGTGGGGATGACCTTTTCGTGAGTGCTTCTCTGTTGAATTTCTGCTTCACTGACGTTTGGTTTTTTTATTCCTCCCAGATGCTCCATGTAGTGGCTGCGATAACTCTTGGACAGACTGGTGTGTCTCCAAGTGTGTGATGCTAATTGCCACCAGAAACCCTTCATCAGCCCAGTTTCCATACCTAACTTGGTATGCAATCCATTTTTCATGTGGAAACACTGAACTATACAACTTTTGTATAGAGTGGGGGCTGTGGTTTGCCTAGGGACATGTGGCTCTTTCACACATATTGTGTGGCTCCCGGCAGGGCGGCTGGGGGAGCAAAGGGGAGGCATGCCTCTCTGATTGGTCTTCCCTTCCCCAGCCAGTGTTCCCCTCCCTGGGTAGGCTTGAGGTGGGGGGAAGCAGAGAAAGAAAGCAACTTTAAATGTGTTCTCAAACCCCCCCCCCCAGCCGGCTTGGAGAAGGCATTTGTCTCTTTAAATCCCTTCTCCAAGCCAAGCCAGCTGGCGTGGGGGCATGGTGGGGGTGGAGGACACATTTAAAGTTAAAGTTGCTTTCTTTCCACCTCTCCCTCCCCCCATCTATCTGTTTTCTTTCCACTTTCTTTCTTCCCACCTTTCTTTCTTCCTCTCTCTCTCTTCCCTCCCTCCCCATCTAGAAGAAGAAGAAGAAGAAGAGATTGGATTTATACCCCGCCCTTCATTACCCAAAGGTGTCTCAGAGCGGCTTACAAACTCCCTCCCCCTCCCCACAACAGACACCCTGTGAGGTGGGTGGGGCTGAGAGAGCTCTGACAGAAACTGCTCTTTTTCAAGAACAGCACTTATCAGAACTACGGCTTGCCCAAGGTCATCCAGCCAGGTGCAAGTGGAGGAGTGGGGAATCAAACCCGGTTCTCCCAGATTAGAGTCCGCACATTTAGCCAGTACACCAAACTGGCTAAAGTTAATTGTGATCTCCAAGCCCCGCCACACCGGCAGACTGGCTTGGCTTGGAGAAGGCATTTGTCTCTTTAATTTAATATGCACATTTGCATATTTTTCAATTAAAACATGTGTGTTCATGTCTTGTGGATCTCAAACATCTGACGTTTATTCTACGTGGCTCTTACGTTAAGCACATTTGGCCACCTCTGGCCTAGGGTATAGATAGTGGGAGGAATTACTTGGGAATTCTAGTAAAGGTATGGTATGCTAGTAATTCTAGCAGAGCCTCAGAAGTATCAGTTGTAGAAACACAAATTGGCTAGTCATATTAGATACACACACATGTTGGTGGGTATTAGGAGACATCTAGCTTATATTCATGTGGAATACTTGTCGGTGGGTAAATTCTGAGGGACAGAGAGAATCTTTAGGGGGGTTAAGTAACTCAAAAGTGACAGTTAGGAAACCTTCAGTCGGAAACAGTGTGAAGTCCAGCTCAGTTTATTTTCCCCATCCATCTGTAACTCTAAGAGAACTGATACATCATAGAACTTCTGTGCGCTAGATGTATGATGTGTGTATGCTATACACATATTTCACATTTTAAGTACTTTTATTAGTCTGGTTCTGCCCTCAGAATAGTGAACCACATACTCATTTCAATGGTGCTCATTCTGGGGCAAAATAAATGACATGAGTGACCGCTTACATCTATAGAGTAGTGTAGCAAATTTATTTTGAAGGAGTGTCGATGTGTCTGAAATTATGCCCAAAGCATCCTGCACGACACCATTCACCATACCCTGACCTGCTTTCACTATAAATAATTTTAAAAGCTCCTGGTAGTCCTTGGAAATTGTACTTACATGGAACGCAAGGCTGTGAGCTGCCCAAAAGTGTCTGCTCTGATTTCATGAATCCGGTTGTGCTGGAGGCCACTACAAAGACAGAAAGGCTACTATGAGAGAGAGAGAGAAACTTTCTTTATAGAGCTCTCTGTCCTCCCTGGCAGCAGAAGAAAGCAAGGCTGCCATGAAGGCTACTTCCATCAAAGTTTGCAGAGCAGGTTCAAATATCAAGGGGGGGGGGAGGGTGGGTCAAAAAACAAAACGATCAAATCCCACCCACTCTGAGTATAGCCTTGGGCCTGGGACAGTACCTCTTTCAAATCAAAAGGGCTTTTGTTGGGTTTTTTTAAAAGAGCCAATCCATTATACTAACAGTTCCCAGGTCTCTCAGCATCTGCTCCTGCTGTGGAGCCCTGAGGGCTCAAGGTCACCAGCTGGCAATCTGACCCCTGGGAATCAGGTGCCCAAGCGACATATATGAAGGAAAGAGTAGAGAGGACCTGGGCAAACTCAGTGCCTTTATATTTCCATGGCTCTTCCACATAAATCTTCTTAATCTGAACCCTCTCAAGAAATATTTATGATGCTCCCAGAACTTCTGGTGCCAGGATGGCTCACTGCTTCATGCTGCCATGCCAGGCACTCGACACTGAACGCAAGCCAGAAAACGGAACATTATTAATCCAAGAGAGAGAAAGCTGATTAAGGGCCTGTGGTCCAGCAGCACCCACCTCTCTGAAGTTCGTTTATTCAAAAAAAAAAAAATGTTCCTTAGGCTGCTCAGACCTGGGATACCACCTCAGCCTGCCCCCTCCCCAATGATACAACACAACCATTACTTACATTTCCTCCAGCTTCTGGCAGCAGTGAAAACTGGGCAGCTCCTCAATTTGATTGTGTGAGAGCTCACTGAAAGGAAAATAACACAGAAAAATTGCACAGTTAGATACAGAGCCAGGCTTCTAAAAGACTCTGTTGGAATGTATCTGACACTGAGGAAGGGTGTGGTTTACCTCAGGCTATGCAGCTGAGGAAGCTAGAAACCCCAAAGACAGGTAATATCCGCTCTGCACCCATTAGATGCTTGGCACCAGTCTTTCATTCATTCCTGTGCCTAATTTTCCAATATTATTACTCCAAGATTACTCAACTGTTCCCCTTCTTTATTCAGCCTCTTTCTGTATCTTTCCATTGCACTGACTTGGCTAACAAATGCAGTGTTATAGCTGTTTCGCTAATCGGCACTTATCCAAAGTGTCATGCACAGTCATCACCACCACATGACAGGCATATATTTCTGCACCTTTAGTAAGGATAATGCATTTACATCAATGTAAAGTATTATAGGAAGGCAGCATGGTGTAGCTCAGTCTTGTCAGATGTTGGAAGCTAAGCAGGGTCGATACTTGGAAGTGAGACTACCAAGGAAGGCTCTGCAGAGGAAGGCATTGGCAAACCGCCTCTGCTTCTCACTTGCCTTGAAAGCCCCTTCCTGGGGTCACCATAAGTTGGCTGTAACTTCATAGCACTTTACACACACACGAAGTATTATATATGTGAACTGGCAACAAGTGAACTGCACAAGTTGCAGAGTCTGTGATTTTCCATCACAGAGTTTCCATGAACTTGCACCATAATTTCATTCTCCTCCCCCCACACATTGTTTTTTGTTTTGTACCCATGAACCTGGTAAACTCTCAGCCCAATATTAGCGTAAGGGGCTGTCAAGGACCAGAATAATGATCACGTGAGATCACAGACTCAGCCTAAGTGACACAAGTGTAATCACAGGAATTCCTTTACTGTAATTTCCCCGGACTTGAAAAGATAAACAAAGTAGAAATTGTGCCATTGCTGCACAGTATTCTCCTGCCTGGCTAGTCAACAACAGGAACCATGATCAATCAGTGTGTTGGTGGTAAATGCATTACCAAAGAGACCTGTCATGAATGGGAAATGGGTACATAACTCACAGAACTCGCAGACTGGGCAACTGCTGACACATTCCTCCAGGAAGCAAATGGATCCCAGCCCGGGTCAAGGTCCTGTAGTGGAGATGAAGACAATGTCATTATGCAGAAGGAAGTTTAAAGATCAAAGCTGTTCCTGACCATCTGACAGTGGAAATGTCGCTAAGGGAACACACATAAAGCTACGTTATACTGAATTGATCCATCAGGATCAGTACTGTCTACTCAGACTGGCAGTGACTCTCTAGCGTCTCAGGCAGAGGTCTTTCACATCACCTACTACCTGATGTTTTCCATTGAAGATGCCGAGGATTGAACCTGGGACCTTCTACATGCCAAGCAGAGGCTCTACCACTGAGCAACAGTCCCTCCTTTTCAGGGAGATCACTGGAATGAAATTAAAAGGGATCTAGCATGTGGTATGTCCATTAAACAGAGGAGCATGGCATGACAGGGAAGGGGAAAGCCCAAGTAGTTTTCTCACTGTCTTATAAGAACATGGGGAAAGACACAAAATGTTTTCCTTGCTGACCCAAATAATTGTTATGCTAAGTCAAATCACTGAGATAAAAATGGAGCATTATTAACAGACTGCCATATGGTTTATTATTAACATTACTGAGAAGGATATGGTGACTGTAGAAGCAATTAGCTGAAAGTGTGACATACCCTATTGCCTGGCTCTCAAATGCTTTCAGAAGCAGATAATTAGGCTGCTACGGCATCGTTCTCAACAGTATCATGATGAAGGAAAGTGAAAACTGCCTGAAAAGCACATTTGGACAGCTCCTTCAGCAGTTCCTTTTGTACCTCATATAAACCTTAATATTTTCCTGAGGCTGAAGACAACCATTATCGTGAGTTTGTCTGGATAAGGACAGTCCCAGTAATCTGACCATCACCCTTTTCTTCATTTCCCTAATGTTCAGAAACAGGTAAATTAACCCAAGGTATAAATGTTCAACTAATCCAGGTGTTCTTAGTTCGCCTTCCTAATAAACAGAGTATAACTGTGGGAATTATTAACAATATCTCTTATGACTAGTGTGGTGTAGGGTTAAGGAGCAGGTATCTTTGCAGCCCTGGTAGCCTGATTTCTTACATAATTTGGAGTAATGGATTCCCAGCAAACGCTTTCTCTGGAATAGCCTTGATGTTGTTATTATGGAAGCCTCTGTTAAGGAAGAAGACAGCAAGGTGGTTAAGGTTAGACTACAGAAGGGATAATGTTTTCATATGTTTGTGGACAGCTTCATACAAGATTAAATATCCTGCATGACTTGTGTGTCGATCCTGTTTTGGTGTCTCATAGGCGGCGAATGCACAGGCTTCTGTTTTGATGCATGTCACTGCAGCAAGATCTGGAAGCTGTCGCTAATTGAGCTTCCTGCTGTGTTGACATACTGCAAAATAGATGTGTCCATCACGTAAACATAATGAATTAAGTATGTATATTTATTTGTGGCGTTATGAGGTCCATGGGGTCGTGAAGAGTCAGATTGGACTGTGCGACTGAACAACAACAACAAATTTGTTAATGTTTGCATTTCACCCATCCACCACGGAGCTGAGACTGTATAGCCTCACAATTGCTTTGTATGGTATATGGATGTAAATGACAGGAAGAGAGATACAGTCCTTTGAGATGCAAAGATATTAGTTACAAATCATTGAACATAGCTGCACTTATCAGCATATTATCAACCTCATATCACTAACAGGACTTACAGAGGGAATTTATGCAGGTGAGTACATGTGTTCATCATGGAAACTCATCATGGAAACCCCATGTGTTCATCGTGGAAACCCAGCTATCGCATCCCACACCAGTATCTTGTAACTGTTATTATTTGATGGGGACCAGAGCAGCAGAAACACTCCAAGGGCCTGGACAGTAGGAACTGAAAATACATTCTGTTTCCCCAATTTAAGACCATCTGAATATACTCTAAAGGTTGGGAAACCTATTACCCACAATGCACAACCATCTCTTGGGAAACCACAAATTGCCCATATCCTGGAATAACAAATGAACATCAGTGAGGTGGAAAATGAAAAAAGGTAACAATTAGAGACTCAAAAGATTCTCCTAAAGAGATACAACCATAGAGGTGAGGTAGGAGACAGTGGGAGCTAAAGAAATTGACCCAGGAGAAAATATTTGTCCTTTCAGTTCTGTGTACCGTCAAAAGCCTTTGGGAGGTATGGGAGGGGAGTTATATGTATGTCTCATCTTTTGAGCCAAAGACCATTGTTTTTAAAGCCTGTGGCAATTTGCCCAATCTATCATAAAGACCAGGATGCTATTTTGACACTAATGATCTCTGTGAGGCATTTATTGCCTTGCTGGAGAGGAGCATGCTGACTTTATGAGAGAAATGGTGAAACAGGAATGCACATTATGGTTTGGGATGGCAGTTCCATCCACATCAAAGCTGGGTCCACACTATCTATTTGAGAACTCTTCCCATAGAAAGTAAAAGAAATGCCTTACAGCTCTTGAAGTTGGCCGAGTGTCCTAATGGCCACGGGAAATTCCACCAGCTCATTATAGTTTAGGTCCCTGGGAGAGAGGAAAGCAAAGGCATCATTAAGAAAGTTGGAAAAGCTCATCACAGTGTGTCACATTCCAAAGGATTGGAGATTTGGTTACTAACACAGGAGATGAGCTTTCCAAGTTCACATATCCAGTCCCCCCCCCCCAATGACTGGAAAAAAAAATTAAAAGAGATGCTGAAATATTTCCTGTTAGCAGATTTCATGAAGCCTGAGCCATGGCAGCCTTCAGTCCTTCAAAAATAGTGGATCGTGGAATGATCAAGGGGTTGAAGCACCCTCCCTGGAAGGAAAGGCTAAGGGGCTGTCTAGTTCAGTGAAAAAGGATGAACCAAGGATGAACATGAGAGTGGTTTATAAAATAGTGAATGGGGTGGTGAAGGTGGGTAGATAGCACTTTTTCTCCCTCTTCCAAAATATCAGAACTCATAGCCACTCAGTGAAGCTGCTGGGTAATAGATCCAGGACAGACTAAAAGAAGCAGTTCATCACTCAAAGAATAATTTACTGCCACAGGATATCATCATAGACACTAGTTTAGCTAGTTTTAAATGGAACCAGACAGATTGCAGAATAGGTCCTTCAATACCTAGTAATCACACTAAGTGGAACCTCCTTGTTCAGAGGCATCCTGTACTAGCTTGGCCACCTCCCATATAATAAGCTATACTAGACTCTTTCTCCCTGACATGTTGCTGAAATCTGAACCAAAAGCTTACATGGATGTATTATAAAACATCAGACTACCTTGTTGTTGGGAAAATTATCAGCTTAGCAAGTATCTCAATGGTTTGGGGACCAATTTGCAAAGGATCAAGGTGCAGGGAAGTGTTTTGCCACTGTAGAACATGCCTGCCTGATATATGCTGAAAGAGAATCCATTACGTGTAAGCAGAGTAGTGAATGTTGCTCCACAGTGAAGTTCCTTGGGGTCCTGAGACTCTTAGAGAAAAGCACACTGTAGCTTAAGTGCTGCAATGATAATAACATCATTGTACTGTTTATTTAGAATAGGCCAACACAATGGAACACATAGGGAACTGTGTATACAGGGAACAAACCCGAGGAACAAATTTCATGTGACCCTTTCTAGTTACATGGCAGTTCAGTGGATTGTAACTGGCGAATATCTTGGAATGTTAGAGTAATTAACTGGCTTATGTGGATTTCTTTGTAATTGCACTTAACGGACCCCCAAGTAATTACCACATGAATGAGATTAGACTTTAAAGTACAGAAATAACCATGAATTTACTTTGGAATTAAATGGGATTAGCCATCTAATTGCTTAGTAACGCCCACTCTCCCACATCTCCCCCCCCCCCACCGCTGTATGATAATTCTTCAGTAACTCTCCTGTGTCCTTATCCATATGCCTGGCTTTAACAAATAAAAGAAGGGCCATGCGGCACAAATTGGTGTAAAAATGTTCATGCACAATATTAAATGTCATAAAAATATAGTGATATATTGAAATGTCTTAAGGGTATTTGTTTACACGTCGTTGAAATAGGGTTGAATATATTACTGTTTATGCTTATTGGATTTTATGTAGGTGTGACTTCTCTTTGAATAAAAAACTTAGAAAATAAAAAAATATATAGCAAGGAAACAGTCACTTGAACTTAAACATAGTGGTTAGAATAGAACAAGATTTGGGAGAACCGGGTTCAAATCCTCACTCTGCCACAAACCTTACTGGGTAGCCTTGGGCCAGTCAGTGTTTCTCAGCTTAACCTATGGCACAGGGTTCTTGCGAGGATAAGCAGAGAAGGGGGAGAACAAGGCACACTGCTCTAAACGCTTGATGGAACAACAGGATAAAAATATACTAAATAAAAAAAGATCCACAAATCAGTCACAGCCTTTCTTAAGACAATTTATTCAAAATATTTGAAATAGGAAAAAGAAAGGGAGGCATAAAGATGGATGTTGTTAAATAGTGGGTTCCATGGATGAGCAGGCTCGAGTCTAGTGATCAGCTCAACTTTATTTGTGATTTCAGCAAGAGCAAGACAAGACTCCAGAGCCACAGCTCTGTTAAACAGCATGCAATTGGCACACCCAAACACACCCCACTCCCAGTGATAGTATATTTTCATAACATTACTACTTGACTGGTTACTTCCAGAGTCCTGGTAGGCTATTGTTCTTGTGCTCCAAGCTCAGCCAGTCTCTGGTGTGACATACCTGGAATGGTTCGGTCCCAATACATAACAGATGTGTACAGTAAAAAATTAAAGATAAATCTTGCATGATAGACTACAGTAAAAAAGGATTTCAGCTCTCAAAAGACTGAAGACTACTGTTTTCTGGGATTTCATGGAGAAGTGAATCTTCTGCTCCTGACTGTCTGCAGTAGTCATGAAGAAGGGGTAGCAGTGAGCAGTGTGCCTGAAAGAAAATTGGGGGTGAATGTGGGTAAGGAGTGTAAGGGCAGGGCCAGCTCACTCACTAGGTGAACTAGGCGATCGCCTAGAGCAGGACGGCCCTTAGGGGCACCAAACTGCACCTGGACCCGTACTCTGGGGGTTTCTTGATTATTTGTGTTTTTCATTCTTCCTAAAATGCATTTATTTTTGAAAATTGGTGGCACACGGGGGGGCCCAGAATTAGGGTTGCCAAATGGATTTGACTCACCGGCGGGGGAGGCTCCTTCCCATCCGGGAGTCATCCTTGTGTGTGTGCGCACGCGCTGCCGGAGCGTCACCGGAAGTGACGTCACACGCTGGGCGGGGCCACACCATTTGAGGGGAAAACAAAGAGTTTTCCCCTCAAATGGCGTGGCCCCGCCCCCAGCGTGCGACATCACTTCCGGGTGACGCACACGCGGGGGTGGGGTTTCCCCCGGACCCCAATTCCGGCGTGCCGGAAATCGGGGCACCGAAGCGGGGAAATCCCCGCCCCCCCCACGGCTGCATTTGGCAGCCCTACCCAGAATGGATCCTCGCCTAGGGTGCAAAATAAGCTGGAGCCGGCCCTGTGTAAGGGGATGTGTGTATAAAAATGGTATTGGATAAGGCAGTGAGACCAGGGAAGCCGAAGAGCCCCCAAGAAGAGTGGAAGAAATATTTGTCCACAAAAATGAAAGGAAAAGAAGTACAGAGACAGCAATCTGAGGGGGAGTAAAAATATCTTTGACCCCAGAAAATAAGGAGTGAATGAAAGCAGCCACAGCAAAGCAGGTAAGATTTTAAAAGACTCAAAAGGAGGAGGCTGAAAGGAATGGCTGCATTTAGCTGTAATTGCTGATATAGACCAGAGACCTTCAACCAATTGGTTGGGAGCTTGGGACCCTCAAGTGGGTTGTGAGCCACCAGCACTCTTTTCTGTCTTCGGGAAGGACCTGCTGCCAGGGTAGATGTGTGTCCTTTGCACATATTCTGAGAAGCAGCAGCACGATGAGGTCACTCAGCTGTGGAGAGGATTCCTCCATAGCCTTTGACTCGTTCTTCACGACAAAGACACCTTCTGGCTTGTGCTTCCTGTCCTTGGCTGTTTGGAAGGCAAGGTCATAACACTGGATTTCACCTCTTCATCTCATGGACCTCTGATGTCACATGCTTGCAGCACAGTAGCTCCTGGGCCTGGAAAGGTTGGAAGCCACTGGTACAGAGACTGCTAGATTGAAATTAAAATGTTCAGACCTAACAGAATTTGTATGGAGGTGGGCAGTGGTGAAACACAGGCTATCCATCATGAGGTGCACCAAACAGCTTCATCATTAATTGGCCACTCTTGACAGGATCCATGACAGAAATGTAAGTAAAAACCAAAGAGTCAATTGACAACCAAGATAATTAACATCATGTAAGCCACTTGTTTTCTTTTCCAGTCATTCTTCCAGGAACTCTTTTTCAAAGGCTTTCTTCAACTGACAGTTGTAATTTTTGTTTGGATATCAAGGAGTATGCAAGCACATACAGGAACAGTTCTTCCTGAATGAGTGTTGGCATCCTTTGCAGTGTTGGGAGCCTAGCTGGATAAAGCCCCAGTCTCTACTTGGCAGGGAGAGAAAGCATTGTATTTCTGAGCTGAAGCTCTGGGTAGAGGAGCTATCCCAGAATTTGATCTGGGAATGCACTTGCTGGAGGGCCAAAAATTAAACCAGATGCAAACAAGCTCAGATACACAAAAGGCCTTTCTTAGAGCCTGCTGTTAGAAATGTCAGCGTTAGGCAATGCAACAATCAAAGAGCCACTTGTGAAACCACTGAGGTGTGAGTCCTCGGGAAGATCATGATACCCTTGAAGGAGGGAGAGAGAAAGAAAGCTTCTAACTCAGGAGGAATGCCCTTTCACTGAAGGCACCCACGGTTCAGTCTGTAAAATGAGAGAAAATATTGGAGGCACAAGCAAACAGGGAAGGCAGCACAGGGAAAAGGGAGTATGGATCTCTGCATGTCTCACTTGGGTGCTACCGTGAAAATCAGGTTTCCTCCCCTGATTTCATACAGCACCGACCTTCCAGCTTTTCTGCATCTTTCCTAAACCAGCTTTACTACAGTGTTTTTAGAAAGATCGCAGTAAAGTTGCAGAGGATGCCACGTGGATGGGAAAGTGTGGCTCTTTCCTACCCACACCATTGCCAGTTCCCCTGCCCCAGTCTGTTGCAGCAGCAGCAGCAGCCGCCATCACCACCCTGTATGTCAGTGGAAAGCTTGTAGGTTCTTTAAAATCAGTAATTGACATGTCACTGCAGGTTATAATACTATAGCAATATGTCATTTACAAAAAATGACACAGAAAAAACTCTTCCCTTTCCCAAAAAATCCCCCCTCTGCCGGGAAGAATGCTACCTACCATGGGCTGGAGCAGGGGGAGTGAGGGGGAAAGCGACTTGTGGAAGCCCCGTTGGTGCTATACTTAATCTGCAGCTGCAGTGGCAATGTCATCAATGTGTGGAAGCCCCTCAGGGACACTTTAATGGGAAAAAAGGTGTTATTCATGTTACAGAGCTTTTTGCAGCCCAGTTATCCTGTCAGGGTAATAGGGAACGAGGCGTGAC